AATGTAAATGTTTGTTGTGTTCTGTGCGCCTGTATAAAAGTGTTGATGTTTTGTGTCTCTTTGTTGTTGTTTAATTTGTTTAAAGAAGAGGTAAGTCCTGCTATGGGGAAGCCTAGCTGTGTGTGGTGGGGTTGAAAGTGTGAGAGAGATTGCAAGAATGTCCTAGCAGCTGCCAAGGACTCTTAATCTTGGGGGCTCTTCTTGCTCTCCCTCTCAGGGTTCAGCCACCAGAAACAGCTGGTGAGATTTCTGTTTGTCTGCAATATAATGTTGGTCATCTATCTTTTAGGGGTTTTGGATAGCTCTGTCAAAGAACAGTGTAGACAGCCGCCACTTTGAGCTGCCTGACTTCGCAGCCGCCATGTTGGCCGCATGGCCTCCTGAATTTCTGAAATACTTGCCTTAGTCCTTGCCTTTGGTCAGGCTGTGTCTTCAGAGCCCAAATGACCCTCCTTACTTGTTCTCTGTGCTGGAGAGCGAACTGAAACCCGTACTGAGGTAGATCTAAAGCCTCTCCTAAGGCCCGGGGTCTCCATATTCCTGGCCTTCAACGTGACAGGACACATCTTTTCTCCCTATTGAGTCAGTTATGCCATTTCCTTCCACTCTTGTTTAAGAATCAGGTTACCTTCTGAGCTGGGATGGGAAGAGGTCACTTTTAGAAGGACTGCCAGACCACCATGACCTTCCATGGGTCCCAAAGGCCATACTGTGCTGCGTGGTCCATCCCTAGGCCTAGTCTATTGGGTCAGAGGTAGGCATCTGAGACAGGCAGATTCACTTCCACAGGAATTTTGACCTGATATCAAGCACGAATTTCTGATCTGTGTGTGACACATGACTCTGTGCTTGGGCAGCTGAGAGCCCGAAGCAGAAGAAGGTGGTGGGAGAAGGAGGAAGAGAGGCGCGGATGCAGAGGCAGAAGCAGGGAGACCGCACAGCGCTGCTTGTGCACCCGCAGTCCTTGAGCCACCTCAGAGCTCTTCATTCTTACAAAAAATGCCTCCCTGGGCTTAAACCATACCCACTGCTTTTTCCTTTTAATTTGCAATGAAATACCTTTCAAAGCT